TGTATAGTTTAATACAAAGGACCGAAAACCAATCACAAAGAGTAGGCTACTTTCTTCATTTAAAAACATGAGATACAGTGGGATGGGGGAAAAAGTCTTGAGACATGTTTTTTAAAACTTGAATTTACATTAATTTTACATGGCTTTCTAAACATGCCGCTCTCTTGTGCGAGACGCGAGTGCAACGCTGATAGATGCCCCGCTAGAAAATGTGATAAATATGCGTTCTGTGTGAACGGTTTGGTTTCAGCTTCGTTGTTCAGTTTAAACAACATCTTCGCCACACTGATGCTCTCGTTTTCTGCAATATATTGAATGAACAACGTAGCAGCGCTGCATCTGCTGGGTTCAACTGGATAGGCTAACAAAAGCATTAAAATGCAATGACACTTACATTGTCGTCGCATTTCATGCGCCACTGATAAGGCTGCCTGATGGCTGACGCAGACCTAAAATTCGAATGCAACATTTTTTTATTCGATTGTGGATTTTTTTTTTTATTCGACGAATATTCGAAATTCACATTTTTTTTTGACAGCCCTACTGCTCACACCATTCTTCAAAGACTGGCCATTTATTGCTATAAAGTGAGCGAGTAGAGGAGGCTTTTGCACTCTGTATAGTATGTATGACTGATGGAGGCAGACCTGCTGCATTCAAATTCCACCTCTCACGGGCCAAGCCCAGAGAGCTATCCTGGGACAGGAGATGGATGGGAGGGGCCATGGCTGGCCTGACAGCAGTTAAACCATCTTGGCCACCCAATGTTTGGATGGCTAGTGTGGAACTATCAGTATTAATGGCAGACCCTGTTCCCTCACTCTGGCTAGAGTGGGGGAAATTAAGCTCAGAGGAGGGAATGCATAAAGAAGGATGTCTGGCCGTCTGGCTGGTGAGACATTGTGTGAAAGACGCAATTATCCCTTCTGTTAGTGTGACTTGATAAGAGAAGGAGTCTATGCTGAGCCCCAGATATTGTTTGTTGAGAGGGCTCCAAACGGCTCTTTATCCTGTTGATCCTGAACCCCAAGTTGCTGAGATGATTTTACACCTCTGTGTCTTTCACTGCTTGCTCTCTTGGCGACAAGCATATCAGATAATCGTCTATGTAAGACAATATTCTTATTCCGTTGTTCTTCAATGGGAACAGGCCTGCTTCCACACATTTGGTAAAAACCCTTGGGGCTAAAGATAGCCTGAACTAAATAGTTTGAAACTCGTAAGCTGTGCCTTGGTATGCAAATCTGAGGAATTTTCTGTGAGAGGGGTAAATGTCTATGTGAAAATATGCATCTGACAGATTGATTGTCACAAACCAATCATTCCGACGAATCAATCGACAAAGTACTTTGTGTGTCAACATTCTGATTGAATACTTTCGTAGGTGCTTGTTCAACACACGAAGGTCCAAAATTGGATGAAGGGCTGTGTCCAGTTTCTTTGGAATTACAAAATTACGGGAATAAAATCCCTGACGGCTCAGGCACCACTCTGATTGCCCATTTGTTTAAAAGAGTTTCGATTTCAGCCGTCAAGACACAAGCTGATTCTCCCTCGACCACTGACACATTCACCCCGTTGAATCGGGGAAAAAGAAATCCTCTGCACACTTCCGACATCAGACATTGTCACAACACATTAGCCTGTTGGTCTAAGGTAATTAAACCTTCCAAAGGCTCGCCTTGATTCGTAAAGCCTAAAGTTGACTTGACGTCACCTACCACTGTAATTTAATACGCAATAGGCCGATTAGAATAGCTCGCCCTGACATGGACCCTATTCTAATTTTTAAGGATGTCACAATGACGGTCCAACTTTCGAACAGATTAGCAAAATCAGCAAAGGCAAGATGTGCTGAGAGAGCTTGCTGCAGTCTCCCACGGGAAGAAAGCGCGAATCACTTATAACAGCACTATTCTTTAAGTAGATTTCGCTATTAGTAGAGACGCATCACCACCCATCATCAGTAATTCTTTACTTTAATGAAACCATTGTAATCCTGATAGTATTCCCATTTTTTACAAAATGTAACTGTAATCTGATTACTTTGTTTTATGACGTAACTGTAACGAATTACAATTACCAGTTTTTTTGTATCCTGATTACATAACACTGTTACATGTATTACATTACTCCCCAATACAGAGTGTATATCAACAACATCTCGCGAACCTCAGTAGCTAAAGAAGCAAATCTGTCTACTCAAACATTTTACACATTTATTTATAGTATCCATTATAGTATCCAAGAGTAAAATCAAATAAAATGTTAAAATATTGAATTTCTGGAATCTCATAGGAAGGTTTAAAGGGTTATTTCACCCAAAAATTAAAATTAGCCTGTGTTTTACTCACCCTCTAAGCATCCTAGGTGTATATGACTTTCTTCTTTCAGACAAATCCAGTCGGAGTTATATTAAAAATTGTCCTGGCACTTCTAAGCTCCATCATAAGCTCCACCACAGTGTTTCTCTTTAACAGCCCAAAACACGTTAAATAAAGCGCGAGCATCCGTAATAAAAACGTGCCTCACACGGCTCCGGGGGGTGAATGAAGGCCTCCTGTAGCGAATCCATGCGTTTTTGTCAGAAAAATATCCATATTTCAAACGTAATAAGCACTTTTCTCTCACTTCTGCTGACTGCCGTATGCGGAAGCGTTGCGGCAGATGACGTAGAACGTATGCGTCGCGCGTGTGCGCCTCTGAGATAGGCTAGTCTCACGAGTTTAAGGTAGCAAAGTTTCCTTACTTTAGCAAAGGAAAACCAGTCTCCTCTTGGCTTATATTGAAATCCTCCAACATTTTTCTTTACAAATCCTCGTTTTGTGCTTCTAATTCATGACCGGCATTTTGTTTTGTTCTCTCTCTGCGTTCGTCACTAATCACGCAACGCCTACGTCATCCGCCAGAACGCTTCTGCATATTACAGATAGCGGAAGTGATAGAAAAGTGTTTATTACGGTTGAAATATGGATATTTTTCTGACAAAAACGCATGTATTCGCTACAGGAGGCCTTCATTCACCCCCCGGAGCCGTGTGAGGCACGTTTTATTACGGAAGCGCGCGCTTTATTTAACGTGTTTTGGACTGTTAAAGAGAAACACCCGCCCACTAGTGCCAGGACAATTTTTAATACAACTCTGATTGGATTCGTCTGAAAGAAGAAAGTCATATACACCTAGGATGGCTTGAGGGTGAGTAAAACACAGGCTAATTTTCATTTTGGGTGAACTAACCCTTTAAATGCACTGATCCCTATCTATTTTCACAAATGTAAATAGACTACATTTGTGAATATAATTTTTTTTAACTAAATTAAAAAATGGGTAGGCCAACAGGTGGCTAACTGTATGGACAACTCACATGTGATTGTGTGGCAGATGGCTTTGCATTATGCATATTGTCTAAACCAGGGGTTTTCAAACCTGTCCTAGAGGACTCCCAGCCCTGTACATTTTGTATGTCTCCCTCATGTAACACACCTGATTTAACTCATTAGCTCATTAGTAGAAACTGCAAGACCTGAATTGGGTGTGTCTGATAAAGGAGACATACAAAATGTGCCGTGCTGGGGGTGCTCCAGGACAGGTTTAAAAACCCCTGGTCTAAATCATTGTTACTGCCCTCTAGTGGTTCATATGTATTAGCAATCTAAAGAAAATCTCTTGAACCATTGATGTCTTCAGTGTCTTGGTAATATTGTTGATTGTGCCCACAGCACCCTCAGATCCAGAAGAAGTCACAGTATATCAAATACTTGTGCTGTGATGATGTCAGAACTCTACACCAATGGGTCAATGGCATTCGTATTGCTAAGGTAATCCCATAGCTTGTCTGTTATGTTTTCTGTTCAATTAATGAAACCTGTGGCCTCAAAACATGTTCCTCTGAAACTAATATGCCACATTTATATAACTGTAACTCTTCTGTATTTGAAAAGGAATTTATAACCAGTGTTCATGTTGGAAATTGTTTAATCTTCAACCATGTATGTGTATATGTTGGGTTTATATAACTTCATCATTGAATGTGTTTTATGTACAGTATGGGAAGCAATTGTATGTGAACTATCAGGAAGCCATGAAGCGCACAGAGGCTGCCTATGACTGGTCTTCTCTCTCCAGCACCAGCATCAAGTCGGGAACAAGCTCAGTCAGTATACCTGGTGAGTAACTTGAACCTGATCACTGACCTTTGTAAACTCTTTTATGAAATCTATTTTTTTTCAAATATCATTGTAATTTATGGAGCATTTTCCTTTCATGGCATAATAGTGATTTTACTGACTTATTACTGTAAATGCTACTTGTTACTGTAGGTTGCTATCTGATGTTTGTGCATATTTGTTTGTGCTTAAAGAGTCACAGTCAAACCACTCTAGCCAGGCAGACAGTGGTATGTCAGATGGTACTTCATCCTCCCATGCCCGCTCCCAGAGTGTAGTCAGTTCAATCTTCTCTGAGGCCTGGAAGAGAGGGACACAAATAGAGGAGAGCACAAGGGTGAGCTGTCCTCTTTCTCTGGAGAGATACATCTCTTTACTTGAGCACTTTCTTCAGTTAATCTCTTGATAAAACACCACAGAGTAAGATGAACCACACTAAAAGCGGAAAGGATATTAAATTAAGAAATAACGTATTATTATTCTTTCTTGTTTTTATATTGGTTCAGGCAAGGCCAGAATCAATCCGTTCTACCCATTCAAGCCATAGCAGCCATTTGCAGTCACAGCCTGTACCACCTCCACCTCCCATAATGCCAATGCAGTCACAGCCTTTACCACCTCCTCCTCCCATAATGCCCTTGCAGTCACAGCCTTTATCACCTCCTCCTTCCATAATGCCTGTGCAGTCACAGCCTTTACCACCTCCTCCTCCCATAATGCCCATGCAGTCACAGCATTTACCACCTCTTCCACCCATAGTGCCAATCCAGTCACAACCCCTGCCACCTCCTCCACCCATAGTGCCAATCCAGTCGCAGCCTTTCCCACCTCCTCCACCCCCTCTTCAGGCTAATAGCCTTACCCCTCCTCCACCAACCTTTACAGTACAGGCACATTTCATATCCAATGGACACAAGCAGGTCCTTGCCCACAAATTTCCCAATGTACCCCAGGATGTAATACCACCAGCCAATCAGATCCATTCACCTCTCCCTCCACCACCACTACCATCAGCACCTACACTCCCTCCTCAACAGCATACAGCTCCAAATCCACCACCACCGCCTCCTCCACCACCTCCATCAGCTCCCATGCAGCTGCCAATTCATCCTGCAGTTTTGCCCAAAACTTTCACTGGTGGATTTCCACCCCAGACAGCACCAAAACCTTCGTATGGCATTCTTCCGGTATCCCCAGTAGCTCCATCACCTCAAACTCCAGCACCACCACCACCACCTCCTCCTCCACCACCTCCAGCACCATTGAAGAACCAACCCCCACATACACTACCCAAGCAACACAGCATCTCCAAGACACTACCCTTCTCCAGCCAAACCTCATCAGTGCCATCTCTGGTTAAGCAGCTTGCTAGCCAGTTTCCTGTTGCATCTCCTGCAATGACCAATCAAACTGAGTCACAAAGTCACAAAACTCCTCAGTCCCCACCTGCAGTGAAGGCTAAACCAAAATGGCAGCCTGTAGGTCAAGGCCAGCAGCAACAGAGGTCACCTGAATTTCCACCGCCGCCTCCAGAGAGTACCCTTGCCTTTCCTTCACCACCACCACCTCCTCCTCCTCCTCCTCTTCCTATGTCAGGCTCCCCTATCATAAAATCCCCCTCTGGCTCATCTGCAGGGGTCAAGAAACCTCCACTGACTCCTCAGCGCAACTCCAGTGTGAAGTACAATGCCTCTGTGGAGTACCAGGATTCCCGCAGGAACTTGGTGAGCAAGTTAAACCCTAGTTCTGCTTCATCATCGACAACAACCTCTAGTAGCTCACCCTCCAAGGAGCTTTCTACAGGTCCTCGTGCACCCCCCAATCCAGGGAAGCTCAATCTGTCAAATCTTCCTTTGGCTTTGCAGAACAAATTGAATCAGAACCGCCAATCGACTGCAGATTTCCCATCCCCTCCACCCCCAGAAAATGACATCTTCCCCCCTCCCCCACTGGAGTCTGACCTTCCTCCACCACCGCCCCTTCCAGGTGATCCAAATGGTTTGTCTCCGAAGGTGGCTGTGGTCAATCCTCAGCCCCAGCCTGCTTGGGGCAAGAGTTCCCTGAAGAAGACGCAACCTCCAGCATCAATTCGCTGTAGCAACACTATTAGAGGGTCTCCACCACTCTCACCCCCTTCCATAAAAGGGTGCCCTATTCCCCCTTCTTCTTCCAAAGGCACCACACAGCCAAACTTCTTGGAGGACCTTAACAAGACACTGAAACGCAAGTCCTCGCGAGTCTCTGGAGACAAATTGGACCCTGTGGCCACAATGGATGACATGGCTTTGCCACCACCTCCACCTGAGCTTCTGCATGATCAACTGAGACACAGTGGTAGTGGCTTCATGTCCGGGAATATCTCAGGCTATGCAACGCTACGGCGAGGGCCGCCTCCTGCCCCACCCAAGCGGGACCACAGCACCAAACTCACAAACTAGAAAACTGCAACTTTTCCTGGACACTCTTGCTTGCTATTTTCATGTCTGTGTCATAGAGTTGTAGAGGAGAAAGCCATCATTTTGTTGATATGCTCAGCTTTTTCTGTACAAAACAGCTCAAGAAGTTTCAGCTTTACTGTGACTTTGTGACAGTGCATAAGTTCCAGTTCCAAACAACTGAGTGATTCCACTTCAACACCTTGGTACTGCATGGAAGACAAAACTACATTAAACTATTAATCTTATTGTTTTTTGGGAAGACAAACGTTTTGAACTTTGGGGTTGGGTGGGATTTTTAATTTTGATTTTATATTGTTTATATATTATCGATTATTTAATAATCTGAAGAGATTTTGTTATTTCAGACTGAAGTTTTTTAAATGGTTGGATGGTTATTGTTGTTTGAGGAGTTTTAGATGGGTAAGTTGATTTAGACAGTGTGTTTGGCTGGTATATTAGTTTGGCACAACTTTAACCATTTATGTGGCAGATCCAGTGCTGAATGGAGGCATCTAGAATGTATCTTGATCACTATTGTTCTTTGAGCCACTTTAAATGCGTTTTAGTTGTAATTGTCAAAACTGTAACGTGAAGGACTTGTTCAGGGAGTTGACTCAATGTCTAGTTCTGTGAGACTGTGGAATGTTTTTTTTTTTTATTATTAGACCTGTTTAAATTGTAGATATTCTCATTTGCTGCAGTATCTTTGTTTAGGTAAAACAAATGACTGCCTTGCTGTTCCTTGTTGGTCCTTACTTCCTCTGGTGAACATTCATGCTGACTTTTACAAATTGTTCACCTATGGAGAGATAGGCTTTTAAGTCATGTGACTGAATGACACAATCATTATTCACATAGATTTATTGTATATCCTGTATTACAACCTGTATCATTGGCTCGTGAATACAGCCACGCCTTAAGATTCTAGAACCTGCGTATCAAATAACCGATAAAAATATTATCATCTTACAAAAAGAGGCCATTAGGAAGTTAAATTTCCCTGTAGGTTTTACTTGTTAAAGGATTCTGGCATATTTTTCCCATTTAGACATGACATACAACTTTAGAATCTTACAGTGAGCACCTATAATGGCTCTATAAGAGCTCCTTTCCATTAGTACAAAGTATGCATATTACCTCATGTCCACATTTGATTTTGAAGAATTTGTTTATTGAATGTATTTACGATATCATGAAACTTTTCAGGCTGTTGAGAAGTGACTAACTGAAGTTGATATTAAATTATTAAAGTATCCGGTTTGTTAATATCATCCATGTTTCTGTTTTTATTGGGTTTCTTGTGGAGGTTAATGCCAGCAGGTTTCTATTTGTATTCATATCTCATAGAGTGAATAATCCTGTTTCATGTTTCAGTGGAGGATGCAGTTATTGGTAGCCATTGGCAAAATCCTTAGTACAGTAGTCTTTTCATTTAGCTTTATGTTTGTAGCACCTTAATGTTTGTATGAAGAATCTTCATGTGATTTCATCCAGCAGGTCAGTGATATGGCAGGTGATTGCTGAAATGGTCTCCACGAACATGGTTGGTTTCAGTGTTGTCATGATGACCCGCATGTATTGGTTGAACCACATTAATGCTTGGTGCTGAAGTTGAATGTGTGCGGTCTACAAAGCATTATTAACATTGTGATTGCAATATTTATACACCAAATATGAAAGTATGAAATATGACAAATGTATTTACCTCCAGTCCCAAAATGATTTAAATCATAGTATAATCCTAACCCCCCCTGTTGGCGGAAAGAAGTTGTCAGCAATTAATTCATTGTTTAGTCATGCATTTATAAATTAAAATTTATTTACTTAAAATTAAAATAATATTTTCAGTTTAACTATCCTTGACACAGTTCACATACTTCTGCACAACTAGTTTTTAATCAAATTACATTTACTGATGCAAACTTGCATTTCATTCTAGCCCTTCTTGCTTGTTTACTAGACACTTACATTTTGGCCTGTATCTACTCATGCAAATGTTTGTATGCCCATGGTGAAATACAGTCTCTTAGCTTTATGTTGACACTCACCTCCTCACTGGACTCCGAGCTCGAGCTGTCGGCCTTTGTGCATCTGAGAGAGATGATGCGAGTGATATCCTGGTTCACTCTGGCTCTGATATAGCACCCTGCCTCCGACTAAATTCCCAATGGTATGGACAAGAATCAAATAAGATTCACTAAAAAAGAACTTTATACTCTTAATATTACTAATCAATATTACTTATTATTATTTTTCATTATGCAAGTTTCTACAAAGCATTGTTAATATACACATTTAAAAAATGTTGCAGCAAATTCAACAGTCACATAACATTAAAGGGGTCCTATTATGCTGTTTTCACTTTTTCAACTTTAGTTAGTCTGTAATGTTGCTGTTTGAGCATAAAAACGATCTGCAAAGTAACAAATTTCAAAGTCCACTTCAAAAGGAGATATTTATTTAACAGAAATCACTTTTCAAAAACTACAACGAACGACTCGTTTGGACTACAACGCATATTTTCCGGGATTTGTGATATCACAAATATCGCCGAATGGTTTGAGACCTGGTTGAGCTGCACCAGAGAAGACAACGAGTGTTATCCCTACGTCGGAGCCACACTAGCTTTCCCAAAACAGACGAACTTAGAGTGGTTACAATCATCCGGGTTTAAATCGCGCTCAAAATGATTTGATTTTGACGCGATATTTACACCTGTTTTTATACAGTCTGATTTACACTGAAGCTCGCAGGCGGCTATGGTAAGGGGCATGACATTTCCCGACCAGGCGCCGAGTGCTGCCAATCACAACACACACTGGCCCAGCTAACCAATCACAACACACACTGGCCCAGCTAACCAATCACAACACACACTGGCAATCAAGACTTTGTAAAAGAGCATAATAGGACACCTTTAAGACTTTTTTTTAAAGTCCAACATGTTTTGTGGTATACGCTATCATTCAAAAGTTTGAGGTCGGTATAGTTTTTTTTACAGTTGCTAGGGCCAATTTTTCAATGCTTGGATCACTTTGACAAAACTCTTCATACAGTGAGCACAACAGCATCTGTGGATAAACTGAATAAGACAGCAGTTTGCTGCATTTCTACATAATACCATACTGAAATATATTCTAAACCTAAAAAATGAAATGCTAGCAAACAGTTAGATGTAGCTGAATAACTACACAATTGTTAAGTCTTTCAGTTTCATTACCATCTATAAAAAAAGGGGAGACTTTGGAATGATTTTGTACTGTAATGTAAATATGGACCATGTAACATTTACTGCAGGGGATTCTAAACAGTGGAGAGCTGTCATTCTTGTTTTGTTAAGGAATTGTACAAAAGAAGACACTGATGCTATCTGTTAGTGTTTTTAGGTAATTGTTTTATGGGTTACACTGTGTTTGCTAGGTGACAAACTTGGCTAGTGTTATGAAAAATGACTTGATTTGAGATTTATGAAGAAACTTTTAAGAAGTGTTTTGGTAGTTTTAGTGCCTTTTCGATTTGAAATTTACTGCTGTGCCAAACTGAAAGTTGGAAAACTGTTTTTAAAAAAGTTTCTTATGCTCATCAAGGCTGCAGAAATTTGAACAAAATAGAGTGAAAACTGTAATGTACTTATTGGCAGGGGTGTGGACTCGAGACTTGACCCGGACTCGAGTCCCAAATTTGATGACTTGCGACTCGACTCGACGTAGCCTAATTAAAGAAGACTTGAGACTCGACTTAAACTTTGACAGCAAGGACTCGAGACTTGACTTGGACTTGAGTCCTGTGACTCGGAAAGACTTTATGATCAGATCAAAGTCGTTATAGACGCGGCCCTGCAGCGTGCTTGCGCTTGACTGGCAATAAGCCAGAGACTGCGTTCAGGGAGCGCTGGATATATAGGCTAGTATAAATTAATGGAGTAATAACACAATTTACGACAAAAGAACAGAGATAAGAAAAAGAAAAAAATCGCCGCCCAGCAGACACACGGAGCGGGCATGAGAAACTTCACTGGTGCTCGCCTCATCATCACTGTGACCGCTGCTGTTAAATATTCCTCACTTCTTCTGTTTGTCCGACACCGAGGTGCACCATGAGTGACGGATCCGCATCCCCCCGCCACGACCCTCGCACTGCCAACTCCATGTGCTTTCATTTTCATTTTTATTTGTAATAAACACCTCTGAGACCTGTTTTTGTCAGATCTACACTGTTTTTGTTCGATCAGTTACATATTTTATTTGCATGTGCATTTTATTTTATTTAAACCTCCATTAAGTTTAAAGTAAATCTGAGTTTAAAGTTATGGTGCAACAGGATTAAAGTTAATCTTAAATATAATTTAAATCCAGGATCAAAATGATGAGTTAAAAATGTAAACCTGCTTATTTTTAAAGGTTTAAAGTTTGGTGCAACAGAATTATTAGATAAACCTTGATTTAATCTAGATTTAAAATTAATCACTGCAAACCATTTAGCTATAATTTGTTTCATTGAGGTTCCAAATAATGGCTCATTGGCTTTGATATAACACCTAGAAGCATATATTCTTATGCACACATGAAAAGTATGTTGCAGTTGTTATTTCTCTGAAATTAAGTTGTCTTTGCTATTCTGTTACTAATAAAATAGTTTTTTTTTTTTTTCACTGCTTGTCCTATTTTGGCACAATCCCTAAATTTAACTTGAGTAGTTTTACTAAGGGCACCCATCTCACATGAAATGTAACTATGTAAAAAATATATTCTACCTGCCTTCCTGAAATAAATTACTATGAATTTGATATGGTAATTAACACTGAGACACTAATTTGGGCAAAGAGCACTAATGACTTGTTTAAGACTTGAAGCTAAAAGTTGAGGACTTGCAACTCGACTTGGACTTGCCTGTCTTGACTCGGGACTTGACTTGGGATCTTGACTCGGGACTTGAATGCAAAGACTCGAGACTTACTTGTGACTTGCAAAACAATGACTTGGTCCCACCTCTGCTTATTGGCATCAAATTTTTGAACAGTAATGTATATAATGTAAATTATATAAATATATTGTAAATAATCTCAACATTGTTTGGGAATATTCAGTCTTTCACCATGGTCTGTAAAATAAAATATGAAATATAATCATATATTAAATATAATGTATATAAATTAAATATCATTAGCTGTTGTTTTATACACAATTATTGTCATTTTTGTCGACAACATGTGTGTGATAACGTTTATGGGTAATTTATATTAAAAATTAAAACCACTCACAGCAGTTTATACAAATGTCTGTG